GTATTATATAATACCTTTTCCCTGTGCCATTCCACATTATTACAAATAACTTAATTTCTGGACATTTATGGTTTGATTTCTTTGTATGTATGGATCACTTGGGTTGTTACTGACATCTGGTGAAAATTTCATGTCATTAGCACCTCTAGTATTATATTTACTGGGAAAAATGGTGATGTGTTCAATACTTATTTTACCCGCTGTACATTCCTGATTTAAAACAACACATGTAAGAACCGTGATTAAACGTTAGGGTGAGGAATAACTTCTGACATCTTGACTCTGTATAGAAATAGCCTGTCCCTTTAACATATGTCATGAGGCGGGGTCAGGATGAGAAGAGCTTTGTTACTTGATGTGTTCTGGGGCTGGCCAATCCTGGTCCTCAAGTACCCCTATCCAGCATGTTTTACTTGTTTCCCTGCCATTCAGCAGGTCTTCAGAAGGTTGTTAATCACTCAGTCATTCAAGCCAGGTGTGTCAAGTCAGGGAAACATCTAAACATGCAGGAAAGGAGTCCTTGTGGACCAGGGTTGAGAATCACTGCTTTAACATACGTTATGTGATTTATTATTTACAAATAAATGGCAAAGAATCAATGGCTTTGAAAAGCAATACTAAAAAAAATAAATACAACTAAGTCAGTATTATATTTTGAAAATGTGTCATCAAGCTCAGAGAAGCTCTTGAGGTGCTGGTCAACATTTAAAGCAGTGATTTTTATATGTTTCCCTGACTTGACACACCTGGTTTGAATGAAGAGTGATTAACAATCTTCTGAAGACCTGCTGAAGAGCAGGGAAACAAGTAAAACATGCTGGATAGGGGCTCTCGAGGACCAGGGTTGGCCAGCCCTTAGCTGATGTCTGTTGGAGGCACATTAAACAAAAGTTAATCAGTCCACAGCTGTGTCCGGATGGTTTTGAATGGCTCACTCAAACATTCACATGTCATTATTATTAACTGGTGTTAGATCTGAACAGGTAAAGGGTAACGAACAGTGCTTATTTTTTAACAGCCTGATCCACACTAACAGGGACTTTGAATTTGCGTAATAGTTTGTTCAAACGATTCGATTGGTTGTCTTCTTTTGATTGACACCTCTTTTGACCAGTTGGGTTCACCTATAGACTCTCCAGAGCCCAAAATGTGTGGCAAGCCCCTCATGTCCCACCTGTACATGTGATTGACTAGAATCAACCAATCAGCTCTGAGCTTCATTCTGACACCACAGCTGTGCAGCCAATCAGGTTACCATTTGTTTGATATGCAGCTTTGGAAATGAGAAACAAGTTAATGGTTATAGTGTATTTTAACTTCAATAACTAGATACTAGTTACAGTTAAAACAATTCTGGCTGCTGAAGTTAAAGCTTTACATAGAGACTAGGCTTGTGAATTTACTCCATAGGGCTGAAGAGCAGTACTGAATTTAACTTGGTTTAGATCTGCAGGTTAACAGATTAAATAAGTTTTTTAATAAAAATATTCATGCAGGTTAAAATTTCAAATCAAGACTCTGACACTAATACTAATAATACTGTAGTAGTATTTACTGTTGTTTCTTCACTCCCAAACAAATCCTTCTCTTGTAACAGTTTTAATACCAGGTGTGATGTACGGCTGCTCTGTGTGAACTGGTCCTGTCTATTCCAATAAATCCCATTCTGTTGACATGCGTTAGCTGCCTCGTCAGATTAAACGTCTTGCCAGAACACCCCAGACTGGTACTCAGTCCATGGTTAGTAACTGATATCAGACTTTTTTTTAGCATCCCTCCCAACAGATCATACTTTAGATTCAGCCAGCTACGCTTTTTATGATCAAATAACTGAAACTCCAACGACGGTACCATTATAACTAAGACAACTCTCAAATTGCTCTCCCTAATGTGGGTAAGACGGTGAACAGTTTGCCTGGAAGGTTCTTGGCGCTGGTTAATGATGTGATCTATTTTAGGCAATAAAAATACTCAACTAATGAGGTATTTGAATGTGTCCAACTCAGACAGGAAGTTATGAATGGACTGAAACCTTCGAGCTTCCTGCTGGGAGGAGCGGCCTGGCCTACAAGGAGGTCTGTTCAGGTAATAATTAGAGCTCTCTTTTGTTTAAATCAGGGTTGTGTTACTTAAATACGTCTCATTTTAAATTTGTTACACTGTTTTTGACTTCAGAGTCTGATCTGGATGATTTGAGTAGTCACACTCGGGGTACAGAGCTGGAACCTTTTTGTTCTAGAGCTTCTGAGGACCGAGAATGGCTTGATGATCCAGGAGAAATGACTGCACAGAACTGGTACAAGAAGATAAATGGACTTTATTCACCTGTAATCTAGAAGCCTGGTCCTGACTGTTTGTTGCTTTGTCCAGGTCTCCCACTGCTCCTCCCTCCATGCCAGCTCCAGTTCTCTATAGTCCTCCAGGCCCCGATGTGGCCCCAGGCCAGGACTTCAGTTATCATAGCACAGATAGTGTTGAGGCCAGAGGTTCCCAGCAACATTGTCCTCCTAGTAATGTGTCAGCAACAGCTGAGGGTGAGATCCCAGCCACGTCTTTCACTCATGTCTTTATCCTGATACTGCTGCTCTGGTCTAATGGTTTTATTTCCCTGCTCCTGCAGAATTCACCTTTGGGACAGAAAAGGTAAGAAATATACATCTAAAATATGAAGGAGCAAAGAGCTAGCATCTCGGTTTGATCACATACGAGAGGTTTGATAAGTGAATCAAAACGTTTTTTTGTTGTTTTTTTTTTTTTGAAAATGGACAATCAGATGTTGGACATCAACATCGCGCAACAAAACCAGCAGGTCATCCCTTCAGCTGTGGAGGGGTCCGAGGAGACCACTTCAAAAGAGGTGAGGAGAGGATTTCTTACAGGTGAACTGTAGTATTCAGTCCAGACTGGAAAGTACATTGGGCCTCATGCAAGAACTGTTCATACGCACAGATTTGTTCTTAAGTTGTGCGTACGAGTGATTTAGGAGAATTTGTGGCATTCACCAATGTTT